TCATAGGTGGAGCTTTTTGGAGGTGGCTGGATCTAGGGTGTATGAATGTGGATTAAGGGCCTGATAGTTGGATTAGTCTACTGGTTGGTTTAGTTGTTCTGGGTGTGGGTAATGGAAAGCCCCTCCCTGAGTGTGGGTGGCACCACCCAAAAGGCTTGTAGTCTGGATGGGATATAAAGGGACAGAAAGAAGGCTGCCCACTGCTCGCTGCTTTCTGCCTTCTCTCCATGGACTGTTTCTCCTGTGCCCCTCTGCCGTGCCCCCCTGTGTTGGAGCCAGCCGATTATTGGCTGAAACGTCTACAAACTGTGAGCTAAAATAATCCTTTCCTCCTTTAACTTGAGTATTGGGTATTTTGTCTCAGTAATGCAAAAAGTAACTAAGACAGTCCCCCTCTTCCCCTTCTCAGACAGGGTCTTACTATGTAGTCCAGGCTACCTTGAACTCACTTGAAGTGATCCTCCTACCTCAGCCTCTCCTGAGTGCTGGGATTACAAGGTGCACTACCACACCTGGCTAAAAGCAAGTTTTTGGTTTTTTTCTTTTCCTTTTTTTTTTTGTATTGGCACATTTTAGATATACATAGTGATAACATTCACATAGAGAATTTGAACACAATATATTTTGCTTCTTCTTTTTTCCCCTTCTACTCTCCTCTCTTCAACCCCACATCCCCTCCTTATTTACAAAAGCTTTGTTTCCATTTTTTTCCCTTATATTCTTTTTTTCTTGTCCCTTCCTTTCTTTCCCTCTCCCCCTTCCCTTTTTCCCCTTCTCATTTGAACATTTTCTTCCCATTTTTCAATATCTAGTATACATTTTGGTCCTTATTTATACTTTTAGTTTCTCTCACCAGAGAAACAATTCGGTATTTAAACATGTGTATGATTTATTTCAGCTAAGTGTATTGCCTCAAGGTGCATCCATTTAGCTGGAAATATCGCAAGCTTATCCTTCTTTATGGCTGAGTAGTACTCCATTGTATTAAAAAACCCCACATCTTCTTTATCCATTCATCAGTTGGTGGGCATTTGGGCTGTTTCCAAGATTTAGCTATTACAGATTGCCACTATAAACATGGGTGTGCATTTATCACTGTGGTATGATGAAAAGCAAGGTTTTGTAGGTCTGACTCTTTGCTGTCTCCCAGGTTGTTCTGGAGCGCTGAGGCCCAGCCAGATCATTTTCCTTCTGGCTGGCTGGCCCCGCCTGAGCTCATCTCCACAGTGTAGCTGTTCTGAGTCTCATGTGACCCAAGGACACCGTGTACGTTTCTCTGATGCCATTGTCTCAGCACCAGTGGGTGGTGCCCAGATTGGCGCCTGCTCAGCTGACGGCTCTCTCAGCTCTTTGTAGCGCCTTTTTCAGCTTCATGGCCAAGGTCAGGAAACTTGTTTTCATTTATTTAAACGTGATTGTGGGAGAAGTACATAATTAGAGTGAGCCTTTTGACCACGGTGAAACAGATCTGACCCTTATCAGGAAAGCTGGTAGAAGAGGGTTGTAAGTAGTAGTGTTATTTTTTTCTGAACATCAGTATAGATGTTTTCCAAAGGAAGACCAAAGCTGTTTGAACTGTGACCAGTCCTCGGCTGCCAGGTGTTAACAACTGTGGTTCCTTAGAAGCTTGGGTAGAGTCAAACCACTGACCTTGAGCTGAAATATTTTCTAAGCTGTGACTCATTGTTTGACTCATTCTGTCTTTCACCAGAAAATACACGGAATACTAGTTTGAAGAATTTCAGTTATCCCTTCTGTAGAGTGTGTTGCTCATTTAAGTTGCTGGGACTTGTAGTGGTTATGCTTAATCTGTGAGTAAACAGAAATCTGATCAATAGAGAAAAGCTGTTGATGATTTAAAAATTTGTGGGTTTTTTTTGGTACCGGGGATTGAACTTGGGACCTTGCGCTTGCAAGGCAGGCGCCGGAACCACTGAGCTAAATCCTCGGCCCTAAAAATTTGTTTTTATATTTAGAGTATGGTGGTTGAACCCAGGGCCTTGTGTATACTAGACAAGTTCTCTACCACTGAGCTACATTCCCCAACCCTTCTAATTTTTAATTTTGAAACAGTCTCACTAGTTGCCCAGGATGGTCTCAAACTTTCTGCCTTCTCTCCTCAGCCTCTCAAGTAGCTGGATTCCAGGTCTGTGCCATTGTGTTGGGCTTGGGTTGTTGATGAGGCAACTGTCCTTCCTGATTCCATGGGTCTGTATCTCTCCCAGCACCATAGGGTGCAGAAGGTGAATCTGAGCTGAGCAGAATAGGTGGCCCGTGTGCTGTCTGTAAATATTGCAGCACTGTTTACCGGACACGGGACTCTGCATGTAAGGCCTGCTTAGGTCAAACCAGGAGGAATTATTTCCATACTGAAAGCCAACAATAACATCCTGACAGCAGGGGAGGGGGTCACGGGGGGTGGGGTGGGGTGGGACAGAGGTCACCTCAAGGCAGCAGCTCTTGGGAGCTCAGGACGTGAACTTTGCAGTATCGAGTTTATTAAAAAAGAAGCCAGCTGGGTGTTGTGGTGCATACCTGAAATCTTAGTACTCGGGAGGCAGGGGCAGGAGGATTGCTGTGAGTTCGAGGCCAGTCTGGACTACATAGGAAGACCCTGTCTTGAAAAAAACAACAAAAATTTTTTTTAAAAGGCAAGATGTACTTGGAAAGAAGTGTGTGAAACCTTCAAACCTTTATTTTATTTGGCCATAGTTTATCTGTGAAAAGTGAAAAATCATCTTTACAGTTGGATATGTGATGAACTCCTGTCACTTCCTGGTCATTTTGATTTCCCTGTCTTACCTGTACATTGATGTACCTCTTCATTGTCATCATTTTTTGCAGTAGTAGGAATTGAACCCTGGGCCTCATACATGTTAGGCAAGCATTCTACCACTAAACTACATACCTGTCCTTTTTAAACAATTTTATTTTGAGACAGGGTCTGAATTGCCCAGGTTGGCCTCAAACTTGCTGTCCTACTGCCTCAGCCTCCTGAGTAGCTGGGTTGTTTGTTATTTTTGTTAGAAACATGACATACTCAGCTAGGCCCTGTGGACAAATGTGTTTGATTATTCTAGTGGTGTGTGCTGTAAGCAGTATCAGAGGAGCCCACTAGAGGGCTGGGTTGACAAGATAATACGTTCACTGAAACACTGATACCATTTACAGAGTTTTTCGAGGACTTCCTGACTGACTGAGTTCTCTTCCCGGGATCTTTGTGTACCCTCTTCTTTTCTTTCCTTCCTTTCTCTCTCTCTCTCTCTCTGTCTCTCTCTCTCTCTCTCTCTCTCTGTCTCTCTCTCTCTCCCTCTCTCTTTTGGTATGGGGGATCAAACTCGGGTCCTTATGCTTGTGAGGCAGGAGGCAGAACCACTGAGCAAAATCCCCACCCCCTTTTTGTTGCTCATTTTAATGCTGGCCACTCACCCCACAGGGGCCACAGAGCCTTTTTCTAGGGTCACATTCTGGATTTGTGCTGCTTTCTTCTCCAGGACTCTGCTTTGGTCTGGCTCAGCTGGTTTAGGGCTCGGGTATCTGAAAACTTTTCTTCTTGGCCTTTTTTATTCCCTGTCTTTTTCCATGCTGTGTGCCTGTTGGCTTTGCTGCACTTCTTTCCAGGTGGCGTTAAGTACAGCACCACAGCTGGAAGGCTCAGAATTTCAGGCATAGCCCTCTGAGGCACTTCCCCTTGTCCTTTCCTAGAAATGGGGGGTGGATCAGGGGCTCTGTGGGAGGTGGTGCTGAGTCTGAATCCAGTCTGTTTGCTGTTTAAACAGTTTGGATTGTGTGTGTAAGGTGGGACCTCTCCCCAAGTCTCTGAAGTAGGTCATTACTGTTACCCTTTCTCCTCTTATTTTTCAACTGAAAAATTAGTGAAGAGAGGTTTACCTTGCCCATGGTCACACAGGAAGTTGGTCTTACACCCTTTGAAGCAAACTTCATTTTTGTATGATATATACTGCTTATCACAGGAATTTGTTTAACAAATAATAGGTTCTTGATATGGATAAATACATCCTCACTGTAAGCTGACTGGTAGTAGTAGGGTTATGATTAAAATTCAAAATTTTCATCAAGTTGATCACATGGTAGACTACTAGCTGAGAAAAATTTCTGGATGGAAGAGACAGAATAGCCATGCAGAAGGCTTTTAGAAAATCAAATGTACATGCACAAAGTCTTGATTTAAGTCATTCTAAAAGAAAGACTCAGTAGGGCAGTTTGACTGGAGCAGAAATGGTTTATGATGCAAGGAGGAACAGGGCTAGTAATAGTTCTAGAAAGAGGTATATTGCCAGCTTGAGGTCAGGGGTAAAGATGAAAATGTGCCCCCTTTTTCCATATCAGCTCCCTCTCCCAGGCCTCTGTCCAGAAGGACACTGGTGTCCAGAAGGGTCTGGTGTCCTGGCTGAGTGGCCTGCACCTAAAGCCGGATGAGGTCCTGTGGGGTCAGTCAGCACAAAGAACAGTTGGCCTTTTGATTTGTTCAGTTCTTTCTAATAGTTTTGGTGCTGTCAAATGGTTCTGCTAATTTAAGGCAAAACCATTTATCCTTGTTTTCCTATGTCTGTTTGGCTTGCAGGGTGAAGCAGCAGCTGGGGCTGCTGTGCTACACTGCATTATGCAATAGGCCTTCAGAGGGCCCAGCCACCTCTTTCCTTTCAGAAACAAAACACAAAATTTTTCTGCTTTGGTTTGTTTGGCTTTGAGGCCAGTAATTTACATCTCATTTGTGAGCTGGTCTCCCCTTCATTGTTTTAGCTAAGTCCTGCTATTTGAATCTGACTCTGGCTTCTGGCCTTATTGTGTTCATGAATTTTAATTGTGTTTGGTTTCAAACCTGTTTCTCCCTCTTGTCTTTTCCTGTCCCCTAACCCCCATGCCATAGTAAACATGGGATTCAATCTTACTTACTTGGGGAAAGAATAATAGTTTTTGCCTGCTTGTTTTGAATATATTCTCTTCTTACTAAGTATTCTTACTTTCTTTGTCAATAGGCCACCAAGCAGTTTCTTGAAGAGATTAACAAGTGGACTGTTCAGTACAACGTTTCCCCACTCTCTTGGAACGTGGCCGTCAAGTTCCTCATGGCCAGGAAGTTTGATGTGCTCCGGGCCATCGAGCTGTTCCACTCGTACAGGGTACGTGGCTTGGGTGGGCGGCTTGTGGCACTGGGCTTCTCTTGCAGTTCTTCTGCCCCACCAGGAAAAGTGGATCTGTATCCAGGAACCCTAGAGATAGCTGAATCTGGGAGCAGCCACTTAAAACCCCACTTTTGTGCCCTGAGTTGGACTAGAGACTACGAATAAGCCTGACATCAGCCTGGGGGCTGGATGTTGGCACACTCTGCTGGAGTTTGTGTCTGAACTCTTTTTGGTGGCTCCCAGGCACCTGCTCCACTGACTCTGGGATTTTTAGAGACCTGGCATCTGCCGATTAGGGAGTTCAGGAAAGGGGCTTTAGCCCTGAGGGAAAAAAGGGCAACTGTAATGCTTTGTCCTTATCTTAGTAGTACCAGTATGCAATAGAGCTCCATCCGTATTTTACTTTATTTTTTATTTTTGTTTTTTAAAGGGGGCTCAATTTGAAGCTGTCATTATAGCCTTTGATTCTGTATTTATGTTTGATTTCTTAGTTGGCAGCATTATTGGAAAGACACTGGCTGGGCATGGTGGCTTACACTTGGAATCCAAGCCCTTAGGAGGCTGAGGCAGGAGGATCACCATGAGTTTGAGGCCAGCCTGGGCAGCCTGGACTTCAAAGAAACACCCTCTTTCAAAAAAAAAAAGAAAGAAAGAAAAGAAAAAACTATGTTATGTCACTTTGGGGTCAAGAAATCCTTCTGAAGAGATATAAAATCTTCATAAATAAAAAAAAAATGGGGATGACTACTAGAATAAGCTTAGGACTCAGGCTCACTTCTGCCTACCTTGTGGGTCAGCTCATTCAGTATTTATTCATTTATTTAGCAGATGTTTATTTTATACCTACTATGTTCCAGGTGCAGAGGTTACTGTTGAGAAGGAGAGAGTAAACAGGTATAGTATTGCTGTAAGGCAGCGCTGGTTCTGTAGTTAGGCAGGTCAAGGAAGCCTTCCTCTAGGAAGTGACTTTTAAACTAAGAGCTGAGGAGTGGAAAGGACCCAAGGATGCTGAGCATATGAGGCTCTGGGGCACACTGCAGACCCCATCATGACAGGACGAATGGCAACAATGTTCACTAATGAGAAGACACTGAAGTGTGTAGAGAGGAGACAACAGTTTAGTTTGAAGCATCTTTGGGATACTCAAATAGCCTTGTCCTCAAAGCAGCAGGAATATCAGTCTAGGATTCAGAAAAGAACTCTGGTCTAGCTTGGTGGTGGTGTGCACATGTAATCTAATCCCAGCATTCTGGGAGGCTGAGGCAGGAGGATTGCAGCCAGGCAGTTTACCACCTTGGCAAGATTCTTATCAAATTAAACGACTGGGGGTATATCTCAGTGCAAAAGCCTTGGTTTCAATTTCCAGTATCATAAAGAGGAGAAACAAGCCTCTGCAATGAAAATAGAGATCTAAGCATGCTGAAAGTACTGAATATCCAGAACTGAATACTGGAGCCATGGGAAGGGTGGTCGATGTCTGAGAGGGTGTGAGGAACAGAAGATGTGTAGGGTTCAATGCTCACCTCAGACTTTGTGCTTTTTTCGGCTCAATATCATTCTGAAAGTTAGATTAGAATGCTTTGGGTAGGGCCTGCTCTCCCCTGCAATCCACCACTTATGTAGTCCTGGCTGCTGCCTCACCTCTGAAGGCACTTGAATTTGATTCTAGGGATGATCAGAGAAGATGATAAGCAAAGACCTGATGTGTTTTATTTACCAGGCACTTGGCTTACTGCCAGGCACATGATAATTACTCTGTAAGTATTTGCAGAATGAATTTCTTTCTTTGCAGAAAAAAATGCTCACAAAGGGAGCTTGGGAGTAGACAGTAACAAGAGAGGGGTTTTGTACAGAGTAGGAGATAGCAAGTGTCTCCAGAGGAAGATAATATGCCTGATCAAGCTTGTCATGTAAGGGGAGGACTGGAAATGTCCACTGGATCAGTGATATGAAGGTCCCGCTGGCTGCAGCAGGAACTTTGAGCATCATGGCTGGATTGGGAGGAAATCAGACTGCAGTAGGGTGAGTTCGAGGGAGCTGGGAGCGAGTGAGGAGCACCCAGTGCAGAGGTGAGCAGAAGGAAGTCTCAGGGCTGCAGTTGGAGGGGAGGTCAGTAGAGAGAGCTCCTGTAAGACAGAGGCCTCAGCTGGGCAGCTGTGTGTGGGTGCAGGCTCCAGACATTGTTGGTCCCCATCTCAGTGTCCCAATCAAGGTCAGTGCTGCTGTGTGTTTAAGTAAGAACTTTGATTCTACCCCCTCATGTTATATATGGGTCATTTTGTTTTGTTGAGACACAGTCTTGCTATGTAATTCAGGCTGGCCTTGAATTTGTGGCAATCCTCCTGCCTCAGCCTTCCAAGTGCTAGGATTATAGATGTGGGACACCACACCCAGCTACTAGATAGGAATTCTTTTTTTTTTTTTTTTTTTGGTACCGGGGATTGAATTTGAGTCCTAGTGCTTGCACAGCAGCCGGGAAAACCACTGAGCTAAGTCCCTGGCCCATAGATAGGAATTCTGATGACATGTAGTTGACATGGAAGGAGGCTCCAGAGGAATACCCAGTTGGGTTGACTTTCTGCTCCCAACTCTTCCTTATCGCTGAGATTCGGGGGTCACATGAGGCTAGCTTGGATATGCAGTGTTTTCATACTACTTCATCTTGCTGTGCTTCTTTTTCAGGAGACACGAAGGAAGGAAGGCATCGTGAAGCTGAAACCTCATGAGGAACCTCTCCGTTCCGAGATCCTTAGTGGGAAGTTCACCATCCTGGTGAGTCTTCATGGACCCATCTTGTCATGAGTTGGTCCTTCCTTGTTGCAGAAACTGTTGGAGCGGTCGTCCGGCTTGGATATTTTTTCTGGGTACCTTAGCCACAGTCAGGAGCAGATGTGAAGTAGCCATGCAGCTTGGCACAGAATTGTAGTAATAACTGAATTACCACTAACTGTAGTTATTAGAATTACGAATAATAGCTCAATAATTGGATTATGGAAAATCTAATGTGTGGTAGACCCACAGAATTTCATCATTGATCTGGGAAGATTAGTCAGGGCCTTGAGGTTGGTGTGCTAAGACACATCCTGTCCCATTTAATGGCAATCCATTGTTAGGACCTCTGGGCCTCTAAGGTAAGCAGGAAGATGGGGACTGTGATCCTGTTGTATTGTCTGTTGCTGCTGCCTTTTTTTCCATCCTGCCTGGGAAATTAGTTACAAAGCCAGTGCAGAACCATCCTTTGATTGCTCTGCAGTTTAAGAGCCAAGAAAATGTGATTTTTTTTTTTTTCTTACCACAAGAATATAGTCCAGAGGACACTGAGAGAATTAGGCCTGGGATGATCCTAACTTTCTTCCCTTTTTGGGAAGAGGCAGATTGGGGAAGCATTGCCACCACCCTTCTCTTCATGCTGCAAGTGTTCTTCCAGGGTAGAAGCCCTAGTGATAGTTGCATTTCCCATTTGACTTTTGAATATTTCCTGCTTTCTTTGCTATAGAATGTGCGGGATCCCACAGGAGCCTCCATCGCCCTCTTCACTGCCAGGCTGCACCATCCCCACAAGTCGGTCCAACACGTGGTCCTCCAGGCGCTGTTTTACTTGCTGGACAGGGCTGTTGATAGGTGAGCACTATCCTTATCTTGTAGGTTGCGCACCTCCAGATAGGAAAGTGACAGTTTTTGACATGATTAAATTCCACAGTGCCTTCACCCTGCCTGAGGATTCACCCTGGGCAGTGCTATCAGTAGGAAGCAGCCTGTTCCTGGGGTGTGGTGTGTTTCAAGGTACTATCAGGATGTTGGGTATTCTGTGTCTTTATCAACTCAGCTCTATTTCAGGGTAACAGAGCTGAGAAAGCTGATTGTCAGCAATTGGCAGTGCATTGAGAATTACTTATTGGAAAAGAAGGAGGAGGAAATGACCAGTGCTGGTTCTTTTTTTTTTTTTTTGGTACTGGGGATCGAACTTGGAACCTTGTGCTTTTGAGGCAGGCTGCAGCACCACTGAGCTAAATCCCCAGCCCAGTGCTGGTTCTTTTTGCTATTATCAGTAGCCTCTGGAGCCAGGTGCAGTAGCACACACCTATATTCCCAGCACTGGGGAGGCTGAGGCAGGAGAATCACCATAAGTTCAAGGCCAGCCTGGGCTACATAATGAGTTCAAGGCCAATCTAGACTATATAGTGAGACCTCGAGACCCCGTCTCAAACAAACAAACAAACATACAAAGAGACACACATACACACAAAGCCTCTGGGGCACCAGGTGTAGTGGGACATACCTTCAATGCCAGCTGCTTGAGGGACTGAAGCAGAAGGATCAGAAGTTCAAGGGCAGCCTGGACAACTTAGTGAGACCCTATCTCAAAAAAAAGAAGTCAAGGCTGGGGATGTAGCACAGTGATAGAGCATTTTCCTGGCAGGTACAAGGCCCTGGGTTCAATCTTTAGCATGGAAAAAACCAAAACAAAACTGATCTCTCTGGGGCCTCAATTTCTTTGTCTGAAAATAGAAATATTGCCATTTAGCTCAAGGATTTTGAGAGTCATCATTCAGGGAATAGCCCCAAAATAGAAAGTTAATAAGCAAAAGCATTTTTTTGTTGTTGGTTTTTTTGGTATTGGTTTATTTTGGTTTAGTTTTTGAGACAGGGTCTTGCTGTGTAGTTCAAGTTGGCCTTGAATTCACTGTGTGGCCCAGGCTGGCTTTTTTTTTTTTTGGTACCAGCGGTCGAACTCAGGACCTTGCGCTTGCAAGGCAGGTGCTGGAACCACTGAGGTAAATCCCCAGCCCAAAGAGTAAGAAGTATTTTATGTGTTGTTTTTTTTTTCTGTACCAGGGATCAAACTTGGGACCTTGCACTTGCAAGGCAGGTGCGGTGCCACTGAGCTAAATCCTGGTCCCAGGCTGGCTTTGAAATCAGTTATCTTCCTCCCTCAGCCTCCCAAGTGCTGAGATTACAGGCATATACCACCAGGCCCTGCCTTGAAAAGGCATTTTTATGATAATAACAGTCATAAGCAAAAAGAACCAGCCTGTTCTGTCCAGCCAAGTCATGTCCTGTCCCTCCAGATTAGACAGGATTACAATCTATAGATTAAAAAACTGAAGGCCAAAGGACTACTGTGACTTTGTTTCTGGTGGTAGCACAACTGCTGCCTGTCGTTTTCCAGCCATCACTTGTGGAGCGCCCAGGCCTGAGTCCTGTTAGCTCTGCTCTTCCCAGTGTTGTGGTGCTGGCCGTGTGCCTTCCTGCCACACCTCCTCTTTCCCTGGTGCTGCTGTTGCCAGTATGTGACAGTTCTGGCAGCTCCACTGGTCCTTTGTGTTTGAAGGCTGCATTGAGGGCTGAGATCGGGAGCACTGGAGCCAGCGAGGTGCCACTCTGTTCAGACTGTAGACTTCCAGGTCGAACGTAGCCTAGCGATGATCTGAGGTGGGCCTCTGCCTCGGTTACATCACCCACCGAGTAGCACTTAGCTTCTGCTCTTGGTGCTTAACTGGAGGAGAGCCACACCTCTTGCACAGCATTATTCTGAAAGAGGAAAGTTGCCAAGGGGCGGGAGGAGAGCTCAGTGATAGAGAACATTTGCCTAGCATGTGCAAGGCCCTGCGTTTGATCCCCAGCACTGTCAATAAATAAATTAAAATTGAAAAAGAAGTTGCAGCTGTATATAGTGTGGTGTAGTGTTGCACCTGCCTGTAATCTCAGCCCTCTGGGAGCCTGAGGCAAGAGGATTGCAAATTCAGATGTAGCCTGGGCAAAATATTTTGAGACCTGGTCTCAAAGTAAAAATATTTAAGGTGGGTAGCACTGGGTATGTAGCTCAGTGTGAAGGCCTTTGGCTCAATCCCTGGTCCTGATAAAGAAGAGGTAGAGAGAATGAAGTTGCTAAGGAGTTAGGACCAGTAATCTCAGTGGGCCTGTGCTCCCCATGCAGAAGTGTGGAATTTCTCAGTCCTCTTTCCTATGACTGGTTGTTAGGTCTACTTTACAGAATAAGGATACTTTGAAATGCTCCTTTAGCTTAGAATGAATGAAAGCCTTTCCCCTCAGAAACCCAGTTTTAAGCTTCCTCCTCAGAAGGCTTGGAGAGTGGGAACTCTCATGAAGATGTGGCCAGATCGTACTCCTTTCAATGCAAGTGGGGTTACCGTAGGAGGTCCACAGGCAGATATATTAATGTCACAGCTGCTTATTATCTAGAGGAGGCAGATAATATATGCTGAATAAATGTGACCCCTTTTCCCCAAGCAAAAGTTCTCCCCAGTGAGTAGAAAATCTCCTTTTTCCTTGTTGCCTTGAACCAGAATGGTCTCTTCTCTCCCCTCCTCTTCGCTGAATCCTGCCCTGGCTGTAAGGCCCAACTTGCTTGCTCACTGGTTTCTTCACCACTGCAACTTGTCATAAATAAAATTCTTTACTCTGATCTTAATACCAGTTATTACCAATGCTTATCTTTTCTTTTTAAAAAAATTTTTATTTTGAGACAGGGTTTTGCTAAGTCACAAAGTTGCCTAGACTGGGCTCAAATTTGTAATCCTCCTGCCTCAGCCTCCCAGATCCCTGAGATTATAAGTGTGCACCCTGCTCCCTGGCTGCCAAAACCAATAACTATGTGCTCAGTTATTCATGGCATTGTGATGTCATTGATTTTATACTAATATTAGATTTTTTGGTTTTGTATTTTGAGACCCTTTTGTAGTTCAAGCTGGCCTTGAACTCACTATGTAGCCTAGGTGCACCTTGTACTTGCAGCAGTCCTCCTGCCTCAGCCTCCTGAGTGCTGGGATTACACTCATACCATCATGCTTGGCTAGAATTAGAAATTTTTTTAACATGTTATTTTTTGAGTGGGTGCTTCTGTCTTGGATTTTGTTATAAGGATGAAGTGAGGGGGAAAAAAAAGCTGGACATGGTAGTGCCCACCTGTAATCCCAGCCCTCAGGAGGATGAGGCAGCACTATCATAAATTTGAGGTCAGCCTAAGCTATATAGTGAGTTCAAGGCCTCTTGATGCTACCTAGTGAGTTTAAAGCCAGTATGGACTAGATAGCAAGACCCTATCTCAAACAAACAAACAAATCCCAGCTACTTGGGAAGCTGAGGCAGGAGGATTGTAAATTTGAGGCCTGCCTGGGCAACTTAGTGAGACCTGAAAAAGTAAAAAGTAATGGGATATAGCTCAGTGGTAGAGTGGGTTTGATCTTCAGCACCCCTACCCCACTTCCCACACAGTGAATGTGTTATAGGAATGTGTTCAGTAGTTCTAAATGGGTGTGAAAACTGTCGCTACCTATGAGTAGTCTGATCAAATAATGTCTTCCTCATAATTTTCTAGGGTTGCAAGTCAAAAGCAAGTAAGGATCTGCATTCCTTTGAATAAAAAATTTGCAGTGGGGGCCGGGGATTTAGCTCAGTGGTTCCGCTGCCTACTACGTAAGTGCAAGGACCCGAGTTCGATCCCCGGTACCAAAAAAAAAAAAAAACGCAATGAATAAATGTTTTCATTCAATGATTGGTTTACAGCTTTGAGACTCAGAGGAATGGCCTGGTGTTTATCTATGACATGTGTGGTTCTAATTATGCCAACTTTGAGCTGGATCTTGGCAAGAAAGTCCTCAACCTGCTGAAGGTAAGGCTGGGGAGGATGTTCTCCACTCTCCTTCAATTGTCAGGGTTTTTCCTTTTTATTCTTTGGGAAAAGACTGAGAAATGATGTAAACTTCAGATATTGTGTTCAGTTAAAAGGTCAAATTTCCCTGAACTAATTTCATCTTCTTGGCAGTGATATTATCCCTGCTGGCAGTGTATGCTCTATAGTACATATGCTTAGGAGAGGACCACTGGTGGTGAGGTCTGTGCAGATTCAGCTTAGAAGATAGTGCCCAAGTCTTTTCCAGAGTGATCATACCCACTTGGCATGAGGAAGAATTTCCATTGACCCACATCCTGTCCAACTCTTAGCAGTGTCAGGCTTCTTCATTTTTTCTGTCAAATGAATATAAAATGGTATCTTGTGGTGCAGACATTCCTTGTTTAACAGCCACCGATTTAATGACTGTTCAGACTTAGGACTGAGGTGCTTGTTTAGACTTAACATTAACTTGTCTTTTTTTTGTATCATTCTCTATATCTTGCTGATAGAGCTTCACTCTTTTTTTGTATGTTACACTTTGTTTATATAGTACTGTAATTATTGTTGATTGTACTGTACAATACAGTACTAGAGTTTTATGTTCTGTTATATATTATATACTGCATGTAAGAGTTATGTATATAACAGCAGAGTCATCAAATTGGAGTTTCCTTTGTTCTGAATATTATAATGTACATACTGTATATACAATGGCTTATTTAGTCAATGATTTAATTAATGACCTAATCACAAGATCTGAACTTGATCATTAAAGGAGGAAAGTCTGTATAACATTGTGAGATTAAAATATCACCACATATTTATTAGCTGTACATGTTTTCTTCTGTGAATGCCTATTTATGGTTTGTTAATTTATGGATTAATGAATTAGTAGGGGTTTTTTTGTTTTTTGGAAACAGATCTTGCTGTGCAATTCAGGCTGGCCTCAAACTTGACATCCTTCTCCTTCAGCCTTCTGAGTGCTAGGATTACAGGCATGCATCACCATGCCTGGATTTAGTGGTTTTTTTTATATTATTCACACTAACTCATTAAGGTAAATAGATGGTACACACTTATGTATGCAATATACTGTCTTTGAGTTTGTAGCATATTTTTTACCTTTTTCATTCTTTTTTGTGATAGGGACTTGCTATGTTGGCTAGGCTGGTCTTTTTCATATTTTATAGTCTTTTTGACTAATAAGTTTTAAATTTTTATTAGTTAAATGTACCAATATTTTATTTTCTGGTTAGTATCTTGTATTTTGTATCTTAAATCCTTCCCACCTCCAAAGTCAGAACAAATATAAAATGTGATTGAAAAATATGAGGAATGTTTAAATTTAAATAATTTATTACAATAAAAGACACATTGTCATTAATCCCCCTCAAGCCGGGGATTTAGCTCAGTGGTTCCACTACCTGCCTGCCTTGCAAGCGCAAGGACCTGAGTTCGATCCCCAGTACCAAAACAAAAAAAATCAGTGATGTTAAATATCCTGGAAGCTTCATTAATCCCCCTTAAGGTACTCCCCCTTCCTTTGAGTACACTTATCCTGCAACTCTTGACACTTTTTTTGATTTGTTTTGTTTTTTGAGGCAGGAATTCACTGTGTAGTTCAGGCTGGGCTTGAGCTCATTATGTAGCCCATACTGGTCTCAAACTAAAAGTGATCCTTCTTGCCTCAGCCTTACGGAGTGTTGGGATTGCAGATGGGCACCACCACACCCAGCTTTCCAGACTGTTTGTTTTGTTTTGGTACCAGGGATCGAACTGTGGACCTTGCTCTTTCGAGGCAGGCAGTGGAACCACTGAGCTAAATCCCTGGCCCTCCAGACTGGTTTTTGTATATGTGCTGCCAAAGTGAGCACACCACTAGTTTTGTTTTGTTTTTTGTTTTTTGTGGTACCAGGATCGAACTCAGGACCTTGTGCTTGCAAGGCAGGCACAGCACCACTGAGCTAAATTCCTGGCCCACCAGACTGGTTTTTGGTGTGGCAGTTAAATGGGCTTTGGGTATTTAGGGTTTGAAATAAATTGTTGCATCTTAATTGACAGATACAGGTTCTCAGCTTCACTGAATAGACCTTTGCTGATGTTAATGTATGCTCTATATTCTCTACGAGGGAATTTGTGAGTTCCCAGACTCTGTGGAACCGAAGAGTAATGGAGCATGACAGAGAGTAACACACCAGCTTGAGAATTAGGCTCATAAAAGTGGCAGCAAGAGTAGGTTCAACAGGAATAGGGTAGGGAGGCGGAAGGGCTGTCAGTGGCTGAAGAGGTTCGGCAGTTTATGGCAGCTCAGGGTTGGAAACCTGTCTAGCATTCCCTCTAGGCCCAGGAGCCCTTCACTGGATTCATAATGACATCCTTTCAAGAAGTCCCACTGCAGACTTCCAATTTTGCCCATGTCATCTTTCAAAATGTGGCCAAGAGTTATCTTCCTAATGCACACCTGGAATGTCATTATACTTTAACTCCATATATCCATCGACAAGCAAAAGACTGGGTTGGTATATTCAAGGTTGGATGGAGTACCGCTCATGATTATTATAAATTTTTATGGTCCCCTATGCCTGAACATTATGTAGAAGGATCAACAGTCAATTGTGTATTAGCGTTTCCAGGATATTACCTTCCAAATAATGATGGAGAATTTTATCAGTTCTGTTACGTTACACATAAGGGTGAAATTTGTGGAGCAAGTACACCCTTCCAGTTTCAAGCTTCTTCTCCAGTTGAAGAGTTGCTTACTATGGAAGATCAGGGAAGTTCTGACATGTTGGTGGTGACCACAAAAACTGGCCTTCTTGAGTTGAAAATTGAGAAAATTATGAAAGAAAAAGAAGAATTGTTAAAGGTAATTTCTGTTCTGGAAAAAGAAACAGCACAACTTCAAGAACAAGTTGGAAGAATGAAGAGAGAACTTAACCATGAGAAAGAAAGATGTGAACACCTGCCAATAGAGCAAAAGGGTCTCATTGAAGTATCACAAAATTTAAAAATGGAAAATGAAGAGTTTAAGAAGCGATACAGTGATGCTACATCTAAAGCTCTCCAGCTTGAGGAAGATATTGTGTCAGTGACTCATAAAGCAATTGAAAAAGAAAGTGAATTAGACAGTGTAAAGGACAAACTCAGAAAGGCAGAATATGAAAGAGAACATCTTGAGTGTTAGTTGAAGACCAAAAAGGATGAGAAGGCACTTTATAAGGTACATTTGAAGAATACAGAAATAGAAAATACTAAACTTGTGTCAGAGGTCCAGACTTTAAAGAATTTAGATAGAAACAAAGAAAGCATGATTGTTCATTTCAAAGAAGAGATTGGCAGACTTCAGTTGTGCTTAGCCAAGAAGGAAAACATGTAAAGGGCTTTGCTGCTTACAACCTCAAGTAAAGAAGATACATTCTTGTTAAAAGAGCAATTTCAGGGGCTGGAGATTTAGCTTAGTGGTACCGCAGCCTGCCTCATAAGCACAAGGACCCAAGTTCAATCCCTGGTACCAAAAAAAAAAAAAAAAAAATCACCCTAAAAGAGCAACTTCATAAAGCAGAGGAACAAGTTCAGGGAACTCGACAAGAAGTTGGCTAAAGAACTTAGTGATGCTGTGAATGTGCAAGATAAAACAGTGGCAGATTTACATACTGCGCGCTTGGAAAACGAGAAAGTGAAAAGGCAGTTAGCTGAGGCACTGGCAGAACTTAAACTAACTGCTGTGAAAAAGATCAGGAAGGGCTGGGGATTTAGCTCAGTGGTTCCGCCACCTGCCTTGCAAGCGGGAAGTCCCAAGTTCGGTCCCCGGTACCAAAAAAAAAAAAAAAAATCAGAAGAAGATTGACACACTGGAACATGAACTTAGAAGAGAAATTGAAGATCTGACACTCCGTCTTCAGATGGCTGCAGATCATTATAAAGAAAAATTTAAAGAATACCAGAGGCTCCAAAAACAAATAAACAATTGGGCTGGGGATTTAGCTCAGTGGTTCCGCTGCTTGCCTTGCAAACACAAAGTCCCGAGTTCGGTACCGGGGGAAAAAACAACAACAACAACAACAAATAAACTTACAGAACAATCAGCCAATAATAATAGTGTCTACACAAAGAAAATTGGGAATCAACAGAAAGTGAATGATACTTCAGTAAACACAGAATCATCTGCTTCTGCCTCTGCTATAGATATAAAGCCATCAATACCTTCTGCAGCAGAGACAAATTTTGACATGCTAACAAAGAGTCAAGTCTGTGAAATGACCAAAGAAATTGCTGACAAAACTGAAAAATACAATAAATGCAAACAACTCTTACAGGATGAGAAAACTAAATGCAGTAAATATGCTGATGAAATTGCAAAAATGGACCTGAAGTGGAAAGAAATTTCTGAAATGTAAAGCTCGAATTAGCTGAAATAGAGGACAGTTATAAACTTTGGTTGGCAGAGAAAGACAGAAATAAATATTCTGACTTCACAGTTGGAAAACCTCTCTAGGGATAAGGAACTTAAAAGGGGTGTAGGAAACCAAACAGAAAGGAAAATGGAAGGTCATAAGCTTCAGCAGGTCTCACAGGATCTCAGTGTATGCTCAGAGCAAAATGGGCGTATTCTTGTGCTGTCAAGTGCACCGCCAGCTCTGCAGTAACCCTTATGCAACACAGGAAACAAGAGATGGAGCAGATGGTGCCTTTTACCCAGATGAAATCCAAAGGCCACCTGTGAGAGTCCCCTCTTGGGAAGACAATGTTGTCTGCAGCCAGCCTGCTCGAAACCTTAGTCAGCCTGATGGTTTAGAGGACCCTGACGATAGCAAAGAAGATGAAAATGTGCCCATTGCCCCTGATCCACCAAGCCAGCACTTACGTGGGCATGGAGCAGGCTTTTGCTTTAACTCCAGCTTTGATGTTCACAAGAAGTGTCCCTTGTGTGAATTAATGTTCCCTCCTAACTATGATCAGAGCAAATTTGAAGAACATGTGGAGAGTCACTGGAAGGTGTGCCCAATGTGCAGTGAGCAGTTCCCTCCTGACTGACCAGCCGGGGTTGGAAAGGCATGTTCAGACGCATTTTGATCAGAACGTTCTAAACTTTGCGTAGTTACTCTTTACTAAGAGTTAATACATGTTAGCAGTTTAAAAATATCACCTCAAATAAACCACTAAGGAGACTGTAAGTTGTCTTGCACCACTATAGCACTTTTCTGACTAAGTGCTACCTTGATTTTGGTGTTAGTAGAGTCACGATCAGTCTTTGGCTTATCAATAACTGTAATTTTAGCCTCTGTTAATCTTATTGCTTTAAGAAAAGTTCTTGCATGTTTATATCTTTATTTATTCCACGGTTTGCAAAATTGTGTGAATAAAGGATAGAAGAATTATTTTAATGTTACCACACTGAAAAAAAAATGTAATAGTGTGCTAGATTACTTAGCAGAGTAATTACAAGTTTCTGTTGACCTTGTTGATTGAGCATGGCTACTAAATATTATGTAATAAAAAGCACTGATCATTTAAAAAAAAAGAGGACTAGGGTAAGAGATTTTTACCCACAGTATCCTTTTTATTTGACTCCATGGGAGTTATTTCTTCTGAGTTAGAATGCCAGTTTACTGCATGGAATCCTGCTTCTAAGCAGGGCTGGGATATTGACAGCTGAGTGACAGAGCCCTGAGGGTTAGGGTGAACCATCTGTCACCCTTGAGCCTGTGTAGACCTGCATATCTCTGTTTTGAAACCCTTTGCTACTTACATCCGTTGGGTCATATTTATTTATATAAGCATTTGCTTAATTTGCGCCTCTGGGGATTGAGTATAAGGGGTTGCACGTGCTAAGCAGTGCACCTAGACCTGAGCTGCACCTCCAGCCTAGATTATGTTTCTTACTGATTGAATAAATAAATACCCAGAGGAAGAAATGAGTGAAAAAATAAATGATGCTTACACAGACATCAGACTAAATGGAAGATTATAGAAGTTTCTTTTATGTTCAGTTTATTCATAATCTAATTTTCCCCTGAGTTTAATAAGTAGAGCTGGGCACAGTGGTGCACGTTTTATAATCTCAGCTATTGAGCCGCTGAGGTAGGAGGATTACGTATTCGAGGCCAGCTTGATCAATTTAGCAAGATTCTGTCTCAGTAAAACAAAGGGCTGGGGATATAGCTCAGTAGTAGAGTGCTTGCCTAGCATGTACAAGTCTTTGGGTTTAATCCCTAGTACCAAATAAAATTTTAGTAAGCAGAATTTACTGGGTATGGTGGTGGTGTACACCTGTAATTCTGTCACTCTGGGAGGCTGAAGCGGGAATATTGCAAGTTTGGGTCCAGCCAGCTTGGGCAATTTAGCAAGACCCTGTCTCAAAAAAAAAAAAACAAACCTGATCGGGATGCAGCTCAGTGTGAAGGTGCTGCATTCAATCCCCAGTAACACACAAACACACACACACACACACACACACACACACACGCAGAACTTTTTTCTAGGATAGATGCATATGTGTGATATGTATAGGGTAATTGCTCATCAGAAAAGTTAGCATAGGCTGGGTATGGTGGCACAAACCTGTAATCCCAGCATTTGGGAGCTTGAGGCAGGAGGATCGCCATGAGTTTGAGGCCAGCCTGGGCTGCCTAGCAAGTTCAAGAACAGCCTGAACTGTCTAGGGAGACCCTGTCTCAAAAAACAAACAACAAAAAAGAAAACTCAGCATAGCTTGTGGTCATTATGACCTTAATATCATTATTTTAAAAGGTAGATCAACTTCTACTTATTTTATTTTATTTTATTTTATTTTGGGTACTGGGGATCAAACTCAGGTCCTTGTGCCTGTGAGGCAGGGTGTGGAACCGCTGAGCTAAATCCTGGGCCCAATCAACTTCTAATTTATTTCTTTTAACCACATTTCCTGTAGCTTTCAAAACCCGAATTAGGCTGTAGACTCTCCCTGCTGAGTAAGATGGGAAGAAATATAGAAGACCAAAACTGGGCTCTCAAAGTCCTTGGTCCTATGAGGCTTAAATTCTTACCGCTCTCCCCACAGGGAGCGTTTCCGGCCCGCTTGAAAAAGGTGCTCATTGTGGGTGCTCCCATCTGGTTCCGAGTGCCCTACTCCATCATCAGTCTCCTCCTGAAGGACAAAGTTCGAGAGAGGGTAAGGCAAGCCTGCCTTTGAGCATCCTGTCTCTACTGCTGAAATCCTCCCAGCTACTTTCCTGCCTTCCAGAGATCCTCCTACCTTGGCTCCTGGAGCCCATTCTGCTTTTTCACATGTCCCCTGCTTTCTTTCTTCACTCATCAGCTGGGCAGACAGGTCACCAGGCTCTGTGGTCAGGAGTGGCTCAGTTAACTGGCTGTCCTTCTCCACAGTGCCTCGCACAGGTGGAACTAAGTGTGTCCCAGAGGGAGTTAAGGGGTGGATAGCACAGGGTTGCATAGGCTTTCAGTTTCCCAGGTGAGGGTGTTGCTCCAGGGTAGAGTGGATGTTAGCATGCACAAGGCCTGGATTTCTAGCTAGCATCATAAAAACCAAAAAAACAAGAACTAAAACCAGCATTTAATACTATTGCATTAGCTGACCTGGCATTAGAATTTGTTTACCTTTAAGCACTGTTCTGTTCCTTTCACCACTAGAGTTTGAGGTGAGATTCCTTCACAGTGTCTTTGCCTACTTTTATTCCTGTCATATTTTCTTAAATAGCTCATTGCTTCCAGTTTTAATAGTGCTGTTCCAAATCACTTAAATTTTATTAAATTTCCTGAGTATTTCAGGACTGAAAGATTATGGTTCAGCCACTGATTATAGCCATTGTAAGAAAGGGAGTATGAAACATTGGCATAATAGGGTAAATTACAAAAAATTTGTTTTGAAATATTAGTACCAGAGATCAGTGCAGGTCTTTCTGGCTGAGGCGACTTGGGTCGCAGAGGGACAAGTGAAGACATTGGTACTGTAGAGGCCCCTTAGAGATCTGTGACTCAGCAAGAGAGATCTGTCCTTAGCTCTGTGAAGTGTTCTTCAAGCACATCTTGCACCTGAATTATGGGACTTATGAATGCATGTCTAAACTCAGATGCATTGAGCACCTTATCCTTATCCTGGGCCTGGGAATTAAACCTGGGTAAGATATCCTTTTCCGGAGGAGCAAGGAGTGCGTGGTCCTGAGAAGGAACAGGAACACGGGGGAGAGGCTGGAGAGTGGACAGAGGACCAGACTCTGCTGCAGACTAGGGTAGAATATCGTCTCAGGCCATCAGCAAGGGTTTTCTGCAGAGGCAGAGGAGGAGAGGAGGGCTTTCCAAGAAGGGGCAGCATTCCTACTTCACAGAGATTCCAGGGAGAATCCACAAGGCCCAGCATGACAGTCTAAGCAGAGAGCAGAGTGAAGTATGATTACTTATCTAGGTTTCTCTTGGCTCCCCTCTGCTGGGGGTCAGCCTTGTCTTGCGAGTATAGAAATCTCTTTAAACATACATACTGAACTGAGTAAAATACAAGTGAACAGGCCAAGAACTGGTTGCCTTAGTATGGGACTGACAAAAATAACCATTCCCCATGTATTGTTAGTGGTGAGAGAGCAAACTGCCAGCATATGATAGTACTGGGCAGCCTTGTTACTAGGGTGAGCCTTTGCTCGTTATCCCTTTCTTTTGGAAGGTCTGTATCAGGGCCCCTAATTCCAGAAGTGAATTTGATAGATGTTCTATGAGTTCAAACTTTTTTTTTTTTTGGTACTGGGGATCGAACTCAGGTCCTTGCACTTGCGAAGCAGGCAGCGGAACCACTGAGCTAAATCCCCGGCCCTACGAGTTCAAACTTTTATCTGAGAATTCACAGGACTTTAACCCTAGGCAGATGAATTGCAGTGTGCTTCCTTTATACTTAGTACAAGGTGTGATCAAAGTATACGGTGAATGTTTAAATTTGAATTTTTAAAAAGCTTATTACAGTAAAAGACATATTGTCATTAATCTCTGTCTCATTTCAAACACCCATCATTTTTGCCACTGTACTGGATGTCTTCTTTTGTGAGTATCTTTAGAAAGTATGATTTAAAAATACAGTGAATGGTCCCACTGAGTGCCAACCAACGGAAAGACATGCACGTAAAACCATTACTGTATATCCTCTTTCACCTTATTCACCTGCTCTGGCACTATGTGACTTCTGGTTTGATCTAATGACCATGGGAGGTCAGCATTTTGAATCAATTCAGGACATTGAGACAGCCAGGACAGCACAACTAAAGATACTCGTAAGGAGGACTTCCAGAGCTTCTTCAGAAAGTAGCAAAAACAATGGAATAAGTGTGTTCAAAGCAAGGGGGAGTATTTTGAGAGGGATTAATAGTAATGTGTCTTTTATTCTAATAATTCAAAAAAAATTTAAACATTCATCGTGTTTTCTGATGATGCTGTGTATATCAAGCAAATTTCATCCCATTCCCCAAAACTAGTGAAAGCACATTTGTTCTTCACTATCTGTGTGCCGTCCCTCTCCCCCATACTCACATGGTTCTTTCTGGCCTTCCATTCCAGATTCAGATATTAAAGACATCTGAGGTTACTCAGCACTTGCCCAGGGAGTGCCTTCCAGAAAATCTGGGTGGGTACGTCAGAATGGACCTCGCCACATGGAACTTCCAATTCCTGCCCCAGGTGAACGGCCACCCAGATCCCTTCGATGAGATCATCCTGTCCTCCTTCCCTCCTGCCTTAGACTGGGACTCGGTACATGTTCCAGGTCCCCACGCCATGACCATCCACGAGCTAGTGGACTATGTTAACACCAAGCAGAAGCGGGGGATTTATGAGGAGTATGAAGACATTCGTCGGGAGAATCCCGTTGGCACTTTCCACTGTTCCATGTAAGTAGGTCAGGTTCGGCCACCATCGGTCCCCAAGATGCCCCTGGCAGGTGCCCACAGCATCCCCTCCATCCTTCACAGAGGGAAGACTTACTACAAGAAGACTTACATTCTTCTTCCTCATGTTAGGGAGTGGCATCGCAAGTGACAGCTCTCATCCAGAAAGGCTAGGCCCTGCTTTGGTACTTGTTGCCATGGCCTATGCTGTCAGTTCCGAAGTCTTTGGTGCTACCATTGGATTCCTATAACAGACATCTTTAGTTATTTTCCTGAAATGCAAATATTTAAGAAAAAAGACTCAAGGGCCAGGGATTTAGCTCAGTGGCACCTCACCTGCCTGGCAAACGCAAGGTCCTGAGTTCGATCCCTGGTACCAGAAGAAAAAAAGAAAAGACTCAGAATGGGTTTCTCTGAATTCCTGGCCTCACTGTGAGCTCTGATCTGTTCAGTTTTTCCCCAGAGCATTACACAATGTTAGAATAAAATGCTACATCTTAAGAGGACAGGGGCCAGCACATTTAAAAGAATCCATGGTCAGAAGAGAGAAGAGTTGCTTCTTAGGAATTTAACTTATTAGGATCTTTTTTTGAGGGTACAGGGATCGAACTCAGGACCTTGCACTTGCTAGGCAGGTGTGGCGCCACTGAGCTACATTCCTGGCCCTGTTGGGATCTTTCTTCTAACTAAATCCTGCCTCAAATCCATCTGCTAGTCTATAACTCTCATAACTGATTCATTGCTGTTGGCAATAAGTCATTTTTCTTATGTTGCTCTAATTTCTCTTACCATATCTTAATCAACTGCAGCAGAAATCTCTTTCTCTTCAACTAGTGAGCTCTGTTTATTGGAAATTAGTGAAGCTAGAGTTACAGCTTAGCCAGAAGCCCCTTCCAGGTGACATGGTTATTCCCTTCTCAGTTTTCCTGTGTGTAATGCATGATTGTGGTAGTCTGAGGTCTGCTCCATGATTCTGTGAGCATCTTGTCCTTCAGAATTCTGTCCAGCTTCCTTGGTGTCTGTGAAGAAGATACAAAGGAAAGAGGGAAAATAATGCGTTAGGAGCCCAAGTTGAGGGTAGTAAGAGAGCACAGGTGATTGGGACAGAAGCCAATAGGCAGAGCAGGAGCACAAAGGAGGGCCTGGGGCTTAGAGCTTGGTGGTGGGGCTCTGATTCTGGCATGTGTGAGGCCCTTGGTTTGATTCCAAGCACTGGGGGAAAAAAATGCAGAAAAAGAAAGAGTAGCACCAGGTGCCATGGCACATGCCTGTAGTCTCAGCTGCTCAAGAGGCTGAAGCAGCAAGATTGCCAGTGTGAGGCCAGCCTGGGCGACTTAGTGAGACCCTGTCTCAGAATTTAAAGAAAGGACTGAAGAAGTAGCTGAGTGGTAGAGTGCCCCTGGGTTCAAGCCTCAGTACTGCAAAAAAAAAAAAAAAAAAAAGGTGAAAGGGAAAAGAGAGCACTTATGAAGAAGGGGGAGTGTGCTTTTCTCACACGCAGCTTTGTTCCCTGCTGTCTGCTCAAGACCTCTGTTTATATCAAATGTCTTTCCCAGTCGTGAATGGAGAAAGTGCTAGTACATATTAGGTGTACAGATCAAAGGGTTTCGTTTTGGTAGACTTGAACATGCATATAACATACTTTAATCACCACCCCTGTTATCCCCCTTGTCTCACTCTCCCCTGGTTTCTTTCTTTTTTCAGTGTATGTATTTTGATCATATTCATTCCATTACCCACTCTCACGCCCCCCACCTTGTTCCCTTCCTCTTGTCTAGTAAGTCTCCCCTCTACTTCCTTGTCAACTTTTTTAGATTCCACATATTAGGGAGAACTGTGATATTTGTCTTTCTGAGTCTGGTGTATTTCACTCTACATCATGGTCTCCAGATCCATTTTTATGTAAATGACTAAATTTCATTCTTTTTTAATGGATGAGTAATACTCCATTGTGCATGTATACCACATTTTCTTTTATCCATTCCTATTGATGAGCACCCAGCTGGTTGCATATCCTGGCTGTTGTGAACTGTGCTGCAGTAGACGTGGGTGTGCAGGTCTCCTGGTAGTATGCTGACCTTAATTCCTTCCTGTGTATACCAAAGAGTGGTATAGCCGGTTCACAGGATAGCTCCATTTATAGCTTTTTTAGGAACTTCCACACTGATTTTCATAGTGGCTGTACTAATTTACATTCCCATTAGCAGTGCAGAAGGGTTCCTTTTTCCCCACAGCCTTGTCAGCATTTATTATTTTTTATGATCTTGACAATAGCCATTCTGATTGGTGTGAGATGGAATCTCAATGAGTTTTGATTTGCATTTCCCAAAATTAAACTTTTTAGTATGAGGTTATTGTAGAGTCGCATGCAGTTACAGGAAGTAATATAGATATAGCACATTTACCCTTTCCACACTTTTCCTCTCTGGTTACATCTTTCGAAACTCCAGTGTAATATCACAATGAGGATGCTTACATTGACGATATATGCAAATAATTTTTCAAAGTCAAATAGCACAAAGAAAAAACTGGTGACAAAGTGGACACCAGTCTCCTGTCTTTCCCACAGTTCTGCTGCCTATAGTTTTTCATTTTGAACTCTGTAAGTCTCCATTGTATGGCCTAGGCTGGTCTCTAGCTTGTGGACTCAAAGGATCCTCTTGCCTCAGCCTTCTGAGTAGCTGGGTGTTTGTGACTACAGGCATATACCATCACACCCAGCTCATTTTTCACTCCTGTGGCCGTTTCTTCTATATTTCATGATTCTAAGGTAAAATGCTTATAATGCTCTTTGTTGATTTTGATTGTAGGTGATATTTAACTCTTATGCCATTCTGTTTCTTTTCTATTTTCCCACTATTAATTATTTGCTTTACTTATTTATTTTACTGGGGATTGAACCCAGGGGTGCTCTACCACTGAACGACATCCCTAGTTTCTTTTATTTTGAGACAGGATCTTGCTAAGTTACCCAGGCTGGGCTCAAACTTAGGATCCTCTAGCCCCAGTCTCCTGTACAGCTGGAATTCCAGGTGTCTGCCACCATACCTGGCTTATAATATGACACAATTCTAATCAAATCAAGAGTATTGTTTACATACTTATGGCTTTCTTTTTTTTTGGAACGGGGGATCGAACTCATGACCTTGCGCTTGTGAGGCAGGTGTGGTGCCACTGAGCTAAATCCCTGGCCCTGTTTTCATTTTTTTAAATCGTCGAGTTTAAGTGAGCTACTGTGAAATGATTAAATATATTAATCTTATCAAATCTATTTCTTGTTTCTTCTAGAGTTACTTAATTTTTTCATTTGCTTTTAGTTTTTTATGTACGTGTCTTTATTATTTTGCTGTGTGCTTAATCAGATTTATTTTATACTGTCATTATTTTCCAAATGGTCAAATATATCAGATAATTATTTAGTTCTGTTTTGTCCCTGGAGCCCTGATCTCAGAGCTTTCTGTTCTTTGGCTCTGGTCTAAGCTGTAGCTAGTTATCTTCTGGGTCTTCTCCTCCTCTTTCATCCTGCAGTTTTCCCACTTTTCTGGTTGCATCTTGCTTCTTGGTCTCATATTTTATTCTTTTTTCATTTGTACTGCATTTTGCTAAGCATAGATTTCTATATTTGAAGTAATTTTACTTTAGAATTTTTACAGCAATGCTATGAGTAGTCTGTTATTTTATTCCTCCTCAGTCCTTTTAACTAATCTGCTGTGGTTTTGTTTTTTCCTTCCTGACATTTTTAGATAATCTCCTTTTCAGTTTAAAAATTTTGCAGTGATAATGCTTTGGTGTCCATCCATTGTTTTAATTCATGATGTTGGGTACACTCTGACACTGAGGCTTTCGCTGAAGCTCTTCTCTGAGCCTTGCGCTGAAGCTCTTCTCTGAGCCTTGCTAGAGTGGCTCTTGCTGCTCAGTGTAGACTGCTCTGTCTAGTGTGTGCCTCCAGATTGTGCCTGCACTCGCTGCGTACAACATCCAAAGCTGCTTTGGCATTTTAGGTATTTGTTATAGCAGCATCCACTCAACAGTGCAGACCTCTGTCCTAGTGCATGTGAGCTTCCTGTCACTTTTCTGTAAGCAGTATATACTTACAAAAACCTGGGGTGTAGCTCAGTGATAAAGCACATACTTAGTACACCTGAGGCCCCAGGTTCAAGCCCTAGCCTGAAACAAAATGAAGTCAAATGATGGGGAGCCCTGTACACCAGAGAATGAGGAACTCCCACATCCCACCCCAGCAGTGATCCACGCCCAGCTTTTACATTGCCAGTCATTGTGTGTATATTTGTGTACAAACACACACACACACACACACACACTATTTTTTTTTTTTTTGGTACTGGGGATTAACACAGGGCCTTTACACTGAGCTACATCCCCAAGGCTCCCTCCCTTTGTTTTTAATTTTGAGACATAGTATTGCTAAGTTATATAGACTAGCCTTGAACTCTTGATCCTCTTGCTTCAGCCTCCCAAACTACTGGGAATACTGGTGTGTGCTACCATGCCATCCTTACTTTTTCTTAATTTTCCTTGTCTGTTTCATTTCCTTCAGGTCTCCAGGAAACCTGGAGAAGAACCGCTATGGGGATGTCCCCTGCCTGGACCAAACTCGAGTGAAGCTGACAAAACGAAGTGGCCACACTCAGGTAGACAGATAGATGCAGTCTTTTTTGGAGCACTGCGGGGAAATAAACTTCTACCAAAGTGAAATGTACTGATACTGTAATACAGTGGTGGCGAACCTATGGCACGTGTGCCACAGCAGCCACACAGAGCCTTCTCCAACGGCTCATGAGCCAAGTTGCCCCAGTATCCCAGCATAGGATAACAGCGCATGTAGTGACCATGTGCATGCTTGGAAAGGAGTAGCGGTGCCAAGCGATCACGTCACAAACAATGACTCATCTGAGCTTTCACGTGGTACTTGGCCTCTAAATGTTTCACCACCACTGCAATACAATGGAAAAGGACTCTGAGCCAGGAAGGTGAGGTTTGAGTACTGATTTTGTATGATTTATCACTGATACCCAATAGTACTGAGTCACAAGTAAGTAGAAGTGAATGATTTTGGGTGGAGGGGTGGAGACTGGAAATTGAGTCTGGGGCCATCACGCTGAGCTGTGTCCACTTGCCATTTTTTAAATTTTGAGACACAGTCTAATCAAGTTGCCCAGGTTGGCCTTGAACTTGGCATATTCCTACCTTAGCCCCCCAGAGTACTGGGATCACAGGTGTGTACCACCATACCTGACTTTTATAAAAGAAATTTTTTTTTTTGGTACCGAGGATCGAACTTAGGACCTTGCACTTGCAAGTCAGACGGCGGAACCACTGAGCTAAATCCCCAGCCCTTATAAAAGAAGTTCTTGATGTGAATGCCCATAGACCTGGTATATTGTGGGTCTTTAGTAAATGTTAGGTTAGTTTTGCTTTTCCTGCTTTGTTATAAAGGCATGATCACATGGTCCAGCTCAGTTGGCACAAATTTCTATGCATCAGGACAAGGCAACTTTGATTTTAAATGACTGATTTTTCCATCTATGTCTGAAAAAAATTGTGAACACCTATTGGATACATAAATATGTACAGATAGAGATGAAACAGCCAGGTGACTGTTATTTAATGTATCAGTTTGGTACTTCTATACTGTTAAAAAAACTATATGTGTTGAGATATTTAGCACACTTCACATGCACTTCTAACATCAGTGTTTCAGCCGTCATTTGAAACACTTTAAAAATCAGTCCGACATGGTTTTGCTGTGGACATCATCTTTATTTCCTTTTAAGTGTCACAGTATCATTGGTGGCAAGTATTCTAAATCAGAAAAACCTAGTAGGATATTAGGGCAGTTTTCAATTTTCATTCATGTTGCATTTCATGCATCCTCTATATCAAAATTATTTACTTATCCCTTTTAAAAATCCTCTTGAGGGCCGGGGATTTAGCTCAGTGGTTTCACCACCTGCTGTGCAAGTGCAAGGACCCAAGTTCGATCCCCGGTACCAAAAAAAAAAAAATTCTCTTGAAATATAACTTGTTTATAGCATTTTCAAATTTAGAATTTTGAGGTGTGCCAGGTGTAATGGCACACACCTGTAATTGCAGCACTCAGGCAGTTGAGGCAGGAGGATTGCAATGAATTTGAGGCCAACCTGGGCTACATAGTTCAAGACCAGCCTGAACTACATAGCGAGATTCTGTCTCAAAAAAAAATTTTTTAAGTGAACATCTAAATAGGCAATTGCCTCCCTCCCTCCCTTTCTTCTTTTCTTTTCTCCCTCTCTGTCTCTCTCTCTCTCCCCTCCCCCTCTCCCTTCCTCTCTTCCTGTCTTGCCAGTTTTTTTCTGTTGACCTCTAAGCATCAAAAAGTATTGATTGAGGGCCAGGGATTTAGCTCAGTGGTGAGCGCAAGGTCCTGAGTTCAATCCCTGGTACCAAAAAAAAAAAGTATTGATTGAGGTTTTTATTTCCAAGTAAAGGAATTTAAATTTTGTCCCTATAACATGACACCCATTTGTTATATCCATCCCCTGCTCATTCTCTGGGGGATGATTTTTGGAGAAATCATTGCCTTGTATTTGACCATGTATGATATGTGATTTGGTACCTTAAGATCATAGTTTTAATTTCTCTTGATAAAGATGCTTGCAGAGGGTTTCCACGCTGAGTGTTAGCTCAGCGTTTGGCTAGGACCTGAGATTATCATCATACGTACCCTGAAAGATGGAGTTTCCTCACTGGGTTGTGTTTATCTGTTTTGTTGACTACTCTTTGCCCACTCTGTAGAACTGTACCTGGCGTGTAATAGAAATTACATAAAGGAGTGAATCCAGAGACCAGGAAACTATCTAGTTATTCTATAGTTCATCCAAATATCTGTGCCTGATTTGCGGCCTCCTTACTGAAAATACTAGCAAAGGTTTTATTTCCAAAGTAAATGGAAGATTCAAGTTTTGTTTTGTTTTATTTTGTTTTTTTGGACATTACTTAATTTCAGGGATAGAATACTCCAGTGGCATTCTACTTTTGGAATTATTCTTTCTCATTTTGTGTTTTGACATTTATTTATTTTAATTAACAAATAAAATTGTATATTTTTATGACTTACATAAAGTCTTGAAATATACATAGAAAATACATACACATTGTAGAATGGCAAAATCAAGCCAGTTAGTATATGCATTACCTGTACATGTTTTTAGAGCTCTTCTCTTTCATGAGGACTCTAATCCCCTTTGTAAGGGCTTAATGGTTCTCAAGGCCTAGTCCCCTCACAAATTTCTGTCTCCCAGAACCATCACATTGTAGGGTAGGATTTCCACAAAGGATTTTGGGCAGAGGATACAAACACTGCCTATAGCAGCAGTTTGCCCCCAGGCTGATACTTTGTCTCTGAGGTCATTTTCTGTTTTAATACATGATGATCCCTTTGAAATTGCTGATGTAAATTGCTAGAGACAGGTGCTGTCAGACACAGGGTCCTGGAAGCTGATATTCTTCTTGATAAACAATAGTAAATCTCCTTTATTTTTTCTTTATCTTTTATCTTTTTAATTTTAATTTTTGGATTTTTGAGACAGGGTCTCACTGTGTAGTTCAGGCTGGCCTTGAACTCACTGTGTAGCCCAGACTGGCCTTGAACTCTTCCCTGTCTTCTTGCCTCAACCTCCAGAGTGATGGGATTACAGACATGTGTCACCATACCTGACTGTAAATCTCCTTTAAAGAGGTGACATTCTGTTCCAAATATGGAGGTAGCTCTTGGGTTGACTGCTTATACATTAGTTGTGTGACAGTGTTGATTCTTACAAGGGACTCTTCTGTTCCCTCTCTGCTGGGTCCTCGAGGGTGTACATCTGTCTGGGCCAGGCCGAGGAGTGGCTTCGTGGCCCTGAGTTGCCTGAAGGAGGCCTTGGGTGGAGAACCGTGGTTGGGCAAGTGAGCTCTAATTTGCTGGGTCTCCTGAGGTTGCCCAGCGGCTCAGTGATGTTGTCCACGCCAGGGTAGAGCGCTGATGGGGTGAGGTCAGTACTGGCTGCTGGAGGAGAGTTGAGCAGGAAAGTTATGGTTGAATACATAGCAGGGTCCTAAGTCAGGAGAAGGACTGGGTATAATGGAGACACCTCAGCAACATGGCTTTGACCACGAGGCAGAGCTGTCCTAGGGGCATGGACTGGGCACTGACAGTTCTGACTGCCCCCAGGTCCCAGGACCCTCTAGAGAAAGGGTGCTGGATGAGGAAGGATCCACTCCGACTTCTGCAGAGTGGAGTAGAATATGGCTTTTCCCTGGGGTGCCATAGAGATCTTTAGACAAGGTCTATAGTTCAGGCTGTAGTCACTATGTAGTCCAGTTCAAGGCGATCCTCCTGCCTCAGTCTCTTGCATGCTGGGATTACAGGTGTGCACTACCATGCCCAGAATCCCTGGAGACTTCTTGTCTCTTGTTCAGTGCCCCTCCACACCCTCTGTCAGGCCACTGCCTCTGTTCATTCCATTCTCATCTACTCACACTGAGACTTGAAGCTCTACTTCTGCCATCGTTTCTTTCTTGGTCAGCTGAGACTCAAGGATATTGGCCGAGACCATAGAAATTTAATGAGAATGATATTAAGTGAATGAGACTGAGGACATGGGGAAGGGGAAGAAGACCCTGCAAAAGAGGCTCCCTCAGGAGCTCAACCTGGCTTCCCTGAGCTGTCAGGAATCCCTGTGTGAGTTCAAACAGCAGTGGAGCCTGGACGCTGGCCTGCTCTGCTGCTTCCTGACAGTGGCAGCTTCTGCCTTCTTGTCACCCATCTTCTGTGAGCCATGGGGTGGATGGGCGCTCCTGTCCAGGCTGTGGGTCCACCTCCCTTTGGTCCTGTGCCATAGTGCTGCAAGCTCTGATAGATTTCTTTTTGTTATTTAAAAAAACACCTTTATTGAGATATAATTCACATGTAATACGATCCAATCATTTAAAGTGCACAAGTCAGTGAATTTTAATATATTCATAATTATGCAGCTATCACCACAGTTGACTTCAGAATATTCTTATCATCCCAAACAGAAACCTTTACTCTTGGCTGTTACTCCCATTTCCCTCTAACCCACCCTAATCTGTTTTGTTTGTTTGGGTGTTTTTTTCCTTTGAGGTCCTGGAGATCAAGTACAGGGCCTTGCACATGCTAGGCAAGTCCTCTACCATTGAGCTGTACCTCTGGGCCCTCTGTTTCCTCTCTCTGGGTTTCCATGTAGATGGAATAATAATGCATCAATGTTGTGACAAACATCAGCACCTCCTCAGTCCTTGCTATTGCCAAAGGATCTGTGTATGGTTATACCATATTTTATTCATGCATTCCTTGAAGGACTTAGAATTATTTCCATTTTTGAACTGTCATGAACAATGCCGCCATGAATATTGGTGTACATAGTCTTAGTTCTTTTCCTTGGCAGTGGGATTGCTGGGTCATACAGTAATCCTGTTTAATCTTTGGAGGAACTACTAGCCTGTTTTAGAAAGGGACTGTATTTTACGTTCTCAGTAGCGTGGATGAGGGTTCTGATTGCTCCACATCCTTGTTAACACTTGTTATCTTTTTTTTCACCTGTAGCCATCCTAGTGGGTTTGAGGAGTCTGTTGTAGTTTTGTTTCCCAGGTGTTGAATAATGTTACTCATCTTTTTGTGTGCTTTTTGGCCATCTGCAAATCTATGGAAAAATTACCTTTTGAGTTGTAAGAGTTATTTTTGTGCTCCAGATACCAGTTTCTTATCAAATAAATGCATTTTGTAGATTGATCTTTCACTTATTTGATAGTGTCCCTTGAAACAAAACTTTTTATTTTTTTTAAATTAAAAAAAAAATTTGGTACTGGGAATTGAACCCAGGACCGTTGGACTGAGCTACATCCCCAGCCCTTATTTATTTATTTATTTATTTGTTCTTTTATTTATTTATTTTTGCTTTGTTTTGGTTTTGGTTTTTTTGAGACAGGGTCTCACTATGTAGTTCAGGCTGGCCTTGAACTCTCTGTGGAGCCCAGGCAATTCTGCCTAAGCCTCCCAAGTGCTGGGATCGCAGGCGTGCGCCACCACACCCAGATGTTATTTTTATTTTTTATTTTGAGGCAAGGTCTCATTAAGTTGCCTGGGCTGGGCTCCAACTCAGATCTCTCCTGTCTCAGCCTTCCAGAATGCTGGGATCATAGATGTGTACCATTGTGCCTGACTAAAGGTTTTTAGCTTTACTGTAGTCCAATTTATCTCTTTTCTTTTGTGGCTTGTGACTTTGCTATTATATTTAAGAAGGCTTTGCCTATCCCAAGATCAGAAAGTTATCCCTTCATTTTCTTCAAAGAGTTTTATAGTTTTAATCTCTTGTATTTATGTCTTTGGTCCATTTTGAATTAATTTTGTGTCCATTATCAGGATGGGGTCCGCTTGATTTTTCTGCATGTAGATGTCCAATTGTGCCAGCCCTGGTTGTTAAAGTGAGGTTTGGGTTGGCCCTGTCACCTCTCACTGTCTGCCCACAGGAAGAGCACACCCACACTGGGTGTTGTACTTACCCAGGACCCCATTCTGTAACCCAGATGCTACCTGCCATGCACACAATGACGTCTCCTCTTTCCCATCAGACAGATTACATCAATGCCAGCTTCATGGATGGCTACAAGCAGAAGAATGCTTACATCGGCACCCAGGGTAAGCTGATGCAGCCTTCATGTGTTTGCCTTGTGCCATCTGCCCTGTGCCAGATATAGCATAGGTGTTAAAGAAAATGTGACTCAAGTCCATGCTGTGGCTACTAAATCCTGGTCTTTCATAAAGGTTGTTGGTGGTAGAAAGGCACATGGGAGATACAGGCTTTCTGTACCATGTGTGCTTGGAAACTCAGTGCATAGAGATGAACTGTAGATATAAGCCAAAAAAATACTGCCTGCCTGTGGCTTTCAGCACTGTGTCTTAGTGTGGCCAAGCCAAAGGAGCAGGGCCTTGAGATACTTTTCACAGCCACAAAGGGCCAGGAATGGCAGTGTTACTTCCCAGAGGCTGGGTCCAGTTTAGGCATGAGCAGTGCCTTTCCTGGGCCCTGAGTCGTCATAGCACATGCCAGGAAGTGCTCTGAACCAGGTGGTCTGTGTGAGGTCTGACAGTGTAGTCCTGTGGACCAGGAGGAATTCAGATGGAGTTGACATTCATGCTCCTGTGGGCCCATTACCTGCTCACCAAGCCTCTGCCTCTCAAGAATACGACTTCATTTTCAAAGAAGGTGGGAGGAGGCTAGGGACACAGCTCAGTGGTAGGGCATATATTCGAGGCACTGGTTTCAACCCCTAGCATGAAGAAGAGAAGGTGAGGGCTGGGAATTTAGCTCAGTGGTGCCACCTTCTGCTTTGCAAGCGTAAGGTCCCAAGTTTGATCCCTGGTACCAAAAAAAATAAAAAAAGAGAAGGTGGTAGTGGTGGTGGTGCTAGGAAATCCTGATACAGGTTGACAGAACAGGCTGCCATGAGGGTTTAAGGTCCTCTGACTATTGCAGAGAATGGTCAGTAACCAATCTGGCAGGCTAGGCGTGGTGGTATATGACTGTAATCCTGGCTGCTCAGGAGGCTGAAGCAGGAGGGTTGAAAGTGAGAGGCCAGCCTGAACAACCTAGCAAGACCTTATTTCAAACTCAAATGAAAGCAAAATGTAATCCAGTTGTACAGTGCTGCTTACCTCAATCCTTGGTTCTGGGAATAAGAGACCTGATGATAGCTCCTTAAACAAGTGATTCACCTTAGCGTCACCAATAAAGATAACACTCACGTGGGTGATGCCCACAAAGGGATGAGACATTGTACACCTGAGAAATGCATTGCACAGGTTGCACATTACCGGTTTTTTTCTTTTCTTAAGTTTTATTGGTACACTTTAGATATATGTAATGGCCACATTCATCATAAGAAATTTGTACCTGTACATAATATATCTTAGTATATGTGCTGCCAAAGCGAGCACTGTACATAATATATCTTGATTCTTTTTTCCTCAATTCTCTCTCCACGTTACCAGTTCTAAAATCTGAATCTGGGGCTGGGCTGTGACTGCGTGGTAGAGCACTTGCCTAACATAGTACAGTACTCATCCTCTCTCATACCTTTAGCTTGTTGCCAAGGCCCTGCATACTATACTATGGGGTCTCTGTTTCTGCAGAGAGGGGATTCTAATTTCATAAAATGTCAATGCTTGCTAAAGATTTCAGTAAAAAATATAATGGAGCTGGAGGCCTTGCAGGCCCCCATCAAGCCTTGCTTTCCTGAGAGCAGAAGAGAAGCTAGGAGAGCACAGAGGGCCTCTGTGTTGTTGCTAATTCTCTTGGTGAGAAGGGCTGGTGGTCCACAGGAACTGCAGCTTCATTGCCAAGTGCCCAACCCCATGCAGGCTCTCACTGAAAGAGAAGAACTTGACCTCCAGGACAAGCGTGGCCCTTGTCCTCAAACTGTAATTCCTGAGGCCTGAATTCCCCAAGTGAAATGACCGATGTCAAACTGTGTAAATCAAATGCTAAGCTCTTTAGAATCCACTGTGGCAATGAGAGCTCAGAGCAGAGGAGCCCCCAAGGAGCAAGGGGTCTGAGGGCTGAGGCGGATATTCAAAACAATGGATAGGAAGTGGATAGACTGAGAGGAGAGGGTGTCTTGTAACCACTGAGCCAGTGGGGACCCAGAGCAGAACGGAAGGGAGAGACTTCAGGAGAGTAAGCTCAGGTGGTGTCATATGTAGCTCAGCTAAGCCACAGCAAGCAGTGAGATCCCAGAACAGGAGTTGGGGCACAGTGGGGCAAGGGGGACAGAAACATTCCCAGTGCATAGTAGCTGCACAATTTGGAGACTGATCTGGGAGATGCAGGAGATGGATAAGGCAGATTAGTGTCAGATTTTTAAGAATGTAGTGTCGCTAACAAAGATCAAAAAGTGGAAAGATGAAGCCCATGTTTAAGGAGGAGCCGAGGTCTCAGATGATGGCCGCTGGGAACCAGTTATGGGGGCTGAAGCTCAGGTGAGATGGGGTCAAAGACAGATCCACAGGCAGCCCTGTCGCCAGATCCACAGGCAGCCCTGTCGCCATGGATATGATAAAAGCTGAGCTCTGAGAAAGTGCAGCTGTGCTTCCAGATACACCCAGTGCAACCACTGCCACTGCGGCCCTCTCACCAAGATGGCTTGCTAATATGTGCATGGTGCTTTTTCTGGTTTTTTTGTACTGGGAATTGGATTCAGGAGCCTTCACACTAAGCTACATCCCCAACCCTTTAAAAATTTTGAGACAGGTCTTGTTAAGTCACTAAATTGTCCAGGCTTGAACCACGATCCTCCTGCATTAGCCTCCCAGAGTGTTAGGACTGCAGCCGTGCAGCACAATGCCTGGCTACGCTCTGCATTTTTCATCCTTTAACGAAGTGCTGGTATAGTCAGTCCGAGGACTGGAAAGCAGGGTGTGGAGAGAAGAGCAGGGAGCTGGCACTGGGCTTCAGTCTTCGGACTGGGACTAGGAAGGAAGAAGGGCTCCTTGTGCTCACGCCTTTGTGTTCTCTCTGCCAGGCCCTTTGGAAAACACCTATCGCGATTTCTGGCTCATGGTGTGGGAGCAGAAGGTCTTGGTGATTGTCATGACCACCCGGTGAGTCAACTCTTTCCCCACTGACCCCACCCATCCTGACCCTAGCGTGGATAATTCAAGAAAGATGCTCAGCTTCTAGAAACACTGAAAATGAGCTGAACATGGCGGTGCTCACTTGTAATCCCAGCACTAGGGAGGCTGAGGCAGGAAGACTGCCATGAGTTCAAGGCCAACGTGAACTACGTAGCAAGATCCTGTCTCAAAAATCAAAAAAGAAAGAAAAGAAACACTGAATGTTAGAAAAGCCATGGGAAAGAGTTGGAGCTTTATCAGCTTTTTCTTAGCTCAGGGGATGATGGAGATAGATGGATGTAACACATCAGAGCTTTAATCCATAGCCATGCTAACCCTGTGACTGTGACAGCCTGTTGTGGAGTCCTGGCCTTGGCCACCAAGGAAATCCTGGCAACACAGGCAGTCTACTTCCTTAGCCTGGCTTATGCCCAGAGGGCTCTGCCTTCCTGGCTGTTGAGTTAGCAGGTTCCGAACCTCTGCTGTCCTCTCTCCTTGTCGGTGTTTTCCCCATTGGCAAAGGGATGAATGAGAGGTGAAACTTAGCAGGTCAGGTAGGAAGCTGTGGACCAAGGAATGCTCTTGAGATGTTGTCCTACACAGCTGCCAACTTGGAGGAACTCTGTTTCATTAATATTGTCATGCTGAGGGGCCAGGGATTTAGCTCAGTGGTTTTGCCGCCTGCTGCACAAGCGCAAGGACCCAAGTTCGATCCCCAGTACCAAAAAAAAAAAAAAAAATTTGTCATACTGATTGTAACTAATTTCAGACAAGGAGACAAAAAGAACTTTTGCTCCATCCCCTTCTCAGGGCCCCAGCACAGCCCACTCCAGTTTGATAGGAGAGTGGAGAAGCCACCTGGGGATCCTGGGACCTCTAAGGGCAGTCTTAGCCTGTACCTGGAGTAGCATCTTCCCCTCCTTTGTTAGTGAGGCCCTAGTTGGAGAAGAGAATGAACTGTGGCTGAGGTACAGGCCAGTGTGTGCTCTCTGACCACCATGTTTTTCTCTCTTGTCCTCCTCATCCACCCATATTATCCCAGCTAGGTGAGAGGTGCCACTTGATATCAGGAAAAAGACCAAATGATATACCAGGTGCAGTGTCTTCACTGAGCACATGCAGACACTTAATCCATTTAGAATGAAGTAGGTTCCTTCTCTCTTTTTTTTTTTTGGTATGGGGATCAAACTTGGGACCTTGCGCTTTCAAGGCAGGTGGCAGAACCACTGAGCTAAATCCTGGGCCTCTCCTCTTTTTGCCAAGACCCAGGAGTTAGAAGTAGTGTGGGAGACAACATTGCCACCTCGTGGACAGAAGGCATGGGGAGTGGGCTTTTGTTGCAGAGGGAGGGATGCGGCTGACTTTGCCTTGTGTCTTCAGCTTTGAGGAAGGTGGCAGGAGGAAGTGTGGCCAGTACTGGCCTTTAGAAAAGGACACTCGGATCAGATTTGGCTTCCTCACAGTGACCAACCTGGGTGTGGAGAACATGAACCATTATAAGAAAACAACGCTTGAAATTCACAACACTGAGGTAAACCTGAGTTCCTGTTTTCTCCCCTTTTTGGAGCTGGGGGAGAATCTATACTGTAAAGAAACTACAGAGAGAGTAGGCAGAAGTCTAAGGAGGTTATAGCTGCTTCTGTTTTTCTGGAAGCGAGATGAGGATATTCAGTTCAGAACCAAGAGAGTCATATCATCTCAGCACAACAGTAGTATTACAGAGGAAGAAGAAGACACCTAGCATTACAAATCTGCATCCCAAGCCAGGAGTGGTGGTGCACACCTGTAGTCCCAGCACTCTGGGAGGCTGAGGCAGGAGGATTGCAGCTCAAGCCCAGCCTGGGCAACTTAGCAAGACCCTGCCTCAAAATAAAAAATATAAAACAGGCAAAGGTCATGGGTTCAATCCCCAGTACCACAAAGAAATCTGGATCCTATAAGAATCTCTTTGCACATTGAGCCTTTCTTTGGGTTTGTAGTAGAGAAGTGATTATGGAGCAAGTTGAGCATGGTAGAAGGGAACTTTGGTGGCAGGGATACCGGGGTGCTGAGATCTTGGAGAAGCTCTCCAGTCGGGCAGGGACAACCTCATTAACTCGTGCTGCTCTTTTCATCTCAGGAGCGGGAGAAACGCCAGGTGACCCACTTCCAATTCCTGAGCTGGCCAGACTATGGTGTCCCTTCCTCGGCAGCGTCACTCATTGACTTCCTGAGGGCCGTCAGGAACCAGCAGAGCCTGGCCATCAGCAGCATGGGCGTCCGCTCCAAGGGGCAATGCCCTGAGCAGCCGCCCATTGTAGTCCACTGCAGCGCAGGCATTGGCCGGACAGGTGATGTACCAGTGCAGCCTTGGAGTTCTCAGAGGCAGGGGGTAGGGAGAAGGACAGAGCTCTTGGCCACATCTGTGATAGGAAAAGGACTCACTTGATCCCTGGTGGTGAACTGCTCTGAAAATGCCTCCTTCACGTCCTTTTGGTACCCTGTGCTGGGTGCTGGCCAGAATACACACTTCACGAACCAGACTCTAAGAATTGACCCCTTATCCTGAGATAAGCACCATGATTGTCTTCTGACCTGTCATTTCCATCACTGTGGGGGCCCAGAGAGCTTATTTGTCTGCTCTCCCTTCCCAGCCCTTCTCCCAGGACTCCTGCCCTGGGCATGCTTTCTACTCTGGGGCCAGCGGCAGCTGCTGCCTAGGGGTGTGTGCTGCAGGACCCCTGGCCTGTGGAGGAGAGGGAGCCTCTGGAGAGGGCACAGGTGCTGTGTCTACCGTTGAGGCAGGAAGTTCCTGATACCTGCATACTTACTCTTCTCCTGTAGCTTCCTCCTCTTCAGGTGTAATGCCACCTGGCCTCCTGTCATGTGCACCTTGCCTTGAGTTCACTTACACGGTCCTGCCCAAGGTTTGGTAGAGGAAGGAAGATAGGAGAGTTCAACAGAGGTGACCATTGCCTTCCTTCTTCAGGTACCTTCTGCTCACTGGACATCTGCCTGGCACAGCTGGAGGAGCTTGGCACCCTCAATGTGTTCCAGACAGTGTCACGCATGCGGACCCAGAGGGCCTTCAGCATCCAGACACCCGAGCAGTACTATTTCTGCTACAAGGCCATCCTGGAGTTTGCAGAAAAGGAGGGCATGGTGCCCTCTGGCCATAACCTGCTGGCCATGGAGGGTCAGTAACTGCCCCACAGTGTCCTGCCTGCTGGCCACCTCCCTTAGATCATCCTGGACACCACTGAGCCTCTAGGTTGCCATCGGTTCTGCCGAAGCTGTGATCAGCCTCTTCCTTGGCTCCTGGCACCCGCGTGCACACAGGACAGCCTCTCCCTTCAGCCAGATCGATGTGGTGGAGTTGCCACTAAAAAGGGCCAGCAGTGATGTGTTCTTGACTCCTAGCACCTGCTATCGAACTGTGCCTTATTAAAACCAAATTGTGGCTATTGATATTTTGCCAGGGCCCTGAGGCAAGGGGTAGGGGCCTCCTCCCCCTCCCGATGCCATTCTTCTCCTGGATGGAGGTCTCCTGTCTCCTCACCTTCCCTTGCTAGGATTTGGTGGGAAGGCTTGTGAGTGTTCACCTTCCTTCCCAGAGAGCTTGACCAAGTTACATATTCTAGAGATTGCCTGAGTGCCAAGCACGTTTATACATAGGGCGTGTAGTCTGGTCTCTGTCCTTCCATGCGTGTGTGCGTGTGCATATGTGCACTTCTATGTCTGGGTCCATATGTATGTGTGTATATAATATATATTGTATGTGATAATATGGTCATATTCTATAAATACATATACACACACATCTCTCTGTATACGTTCCTGGGGCTCTCTTGCAGTTCAGTTTACCTGGACTGGCTGGGGTGGGGACACACACACACCTGTCCTCCCTGCTCCCACCCAGGCCCTCATCCTCAAGTGATGACTTCTCCCCTCCAGATTCTGCCCACTGGAACCAAGAATGCTGATGTGTGGTGACCGTGATGTAGTTCAGCATTGGTGTCCCATATCTAACAGCTTTTCTCTGTTTACTCTGCTCATTTGGGGAACAGACCTCCACTGTGATACCAGGCCCTGCCTTTTCTGTCTCACCCTAGGGATCGAGGATGGGGTAGAGATGAACTCACTGAGCAGGCAGAGCCAAGAGCAATCGGTACAAAGTCTCAGCAGGAAAGGAGGGGAGCAGGAGGCAAGGGAGAAACTCACCATAGAATCCCTTCCAGGGGACAAGCAGGCCCCCTTTGCCTCTGCTGGAGGTTCTTTTCCTATGCCTTGTCTACTGAGACACCCATCTCTTCCTCTCTGCCATCTGCCAGGTCCTAGAGCTCCAACTGGATGGACTCTGTGCCAATAACAAGCATAACACCCTGGTGGGGGGGGGGCGGTGATCCCCTCAATCACTGTCCTGTCACCCACCTGTCCCTGCCTGCTCCCAATCCCCCAGCCGATGTGCAGGGATGGGATCAAGAGTCCCCAGCATTCTATATTCTCAAGAGGGTCCCCAAGACCCCCAAATCTTTTTCTCCCACTGTAGAAGATGAGGTTGGCAGCTGATCAGACCTCAGTAATTTTATACTGTAATAAGCTCTTTGAATATGTATATTCTTATTTTTTACAATCATTTCATTTTGTATTTAACATCGATGGACTGAGTCAGATTCAGTAATAATTGTAATGTTCATATTCAGTATCTTACAGTGATACAGTTTTGTATTTACATATAAATATACCATGATCAAACCTTTTTAGTTTCATCAATTTAGCAGGCTGGGCTTGGAAGGTGAGGGGGCACAGGAGCTGGTCTGGGATGGGTAGGGAGGCAGGGAAGAAGCCACACTTTAGGGTCTGAACCTCTCAGTTTTTTTGTGTGTGTTTTTGGGTTTTTTGGTGGTACTAGGGATTGAGCCCAGGGCCTCCTCACTGAACTGTATCCCCAGCTCTTTTTAAATTTTGAGACAAGGTCTTGCTAAGTTGCCCAGGCTGGGCTCGAATTGTGATCTTCCTGCTGCAGCTTCCCAGAGTGCTGGGATTACAGTGGTGTGCCACCGTGCCTGGTGTCAGTTTTGAGAGCCACCCACCTTGTCTGTAGACCATGCCTCTAGCTTTGGACAGAGGGACCAGGGACCAGCACTCCTCAGTGCTTACTGTGTGCCAGGCTCAGTGATAGGTGCTTTGGCCCCCTCATGTCATTGGACCCTCACAGCACTGCAGGGTGATATTCCCCCTACCTTCTGTCTCCCATCTCTGATAGGAGGGAAGTGAGCGCTGAGGGATTTCATGATCTGATAAAGAACTGAAGCTCTGATGCATTCACAGCTTGAGATTGCCTCACTGGCAGATCTGGAAAGCAATAGCACTGTGCCATTAGAGACCAAGTGTGGGTGCTTGTTTGAGCTCTCCTTTTGAGAGCATAAGCACATTTGAAATTCTAGGCAGCTCTGAGCCCAGGCTCCTTGTAGACTGAGGGTGACAAGGTTGACAATTGTTTTGCCCAGACAGGACCTCCTGATTCCTCTGGTCTATAGAGCACCACTGAATGGTTCATTCTTCCAGGGAGACGCTAGCAATACAGGTACTTTGGTCTTTGTGAAGACAGCTTGAGTCATTTCCATCTTTCTCTGCAAAGAAGCAGCTTTGTCCCTGTAGGAGCAGCCTCAACCCACATAGCTGCTGCTGGTGGGCCTTGACCCCCTGCCCCATTGGGCAGCTCTGACCCTGAGAGCATGCTGAGCCATCCAACACTTGCTGGTGCCAGGAACTGTACAGAACTCCTCTGAGTACAATGTCCCTTGCACTCAGCAGCCACAGAAGAAACAATGTAGGTTTTTGGGGTTTTTTGGTACCAGGGATCGAACTCGGGACCTTGTGCTTGCAAGGCAGGCGGCAGAACCACTGAGCTAAATCCCCGACCCAGAAACAAACATCCAGATACAGGGAGTTAATGTGCTACAGCCACAACCTGGGCTCTGGAGTGCCTGCTTTTCCTAGAAGCCTCTGAAGATCTGTCTCCTAATCTGTCAACAGATTCTCCTTGGTCTTTTCCTTAGGAGCTAAAGTGCAGAGCAGATGAGCCCGCCCCTTGCCCTGTGAGAGACTGTATGGGGCTAGGCACGGAGTGCATGGGAGCCAGGAATGCGTGGGAACCAGGGTTATGATAAAGGTCAGGAGAGGGTAACCTGAGATAGGTGAAGAGGCTGGAGCCCAGCTGCCCTGTAAACTCAAAATTATGCGTGGATTCTTCATGGCACATTTCTGGTCTACCCCGCAGGTAGCTGCGTGAATGACAAGATGATCCAGGTTGGAACAGCTGACTTCATTCACAACCCTTACTCTGGAGAGTTAGTCAGCAGATGTGTCCTAAGAGAAGGGTTCAGTAGCCCCCGTGCACACACACACACACACACACAGCTGTTACTGTTTGTAGTACCTTCTTGGTTTTTGGGGGGGGCAGGGGGAATTTGAGACAAGGTCTCACTATGTAGCCCAGGCTGGTCTCAAAGTCATGGTGATCCTCCTGCCACAGCTTCCCGAGTGCTGGAACTACAGGCATACACCACCACACCTGGCCTTGTTGTTTTTTTTTTAGACAGCTCTTTGTTTTTGGTACTGGGAATCAAACCCAGGACCTTGCACTTGCCAGGCAGGCATGGCGCCACTGAGCTGAATTCCTGGTCCTAGACAGGCTCTTGGTATGTCTCCTGGGCTGTCCTCACACTCTTAAACTCAGCAGTCCTGCCTCAGCCTCCTGAGGATCCCAGCTGCTGGAATGTTTCCCATGTGTGCCTGCCTGTGCCAAGTGTATTAAGGAGGTGGAGAAGTAGGAGGCAGAGAGCCTAGAGTCTGCTCAGGAGGCTCTACTTCTGCAGGACACAAGTTCAGGCAAAAGGACAGCACTGCGCACCTTCTAACGGTCCCTGGTTTATGACAGAGTCCCACTGTCCTCTCTGTGTCGCTCCCTTTGACCTGCTCTTCTCTGTCAGTGAGGTGGGGACTCCTGAGGTGAAAGGGTCCCAGCATTCTCTGCCTGGATGTGGCAGGTGTGGCTGGTCTCCATGTGACAATATACAGGCAAATGGCAGAGTAGGGCTTTTTCTCGGGGCCCTTAGCGACATGAGGCTCTGCCCTCAAAGAATGCTTTGCTCTCTAGTGAGCTGGACACAGCTGCAGAAAGCCCTGCAAACCAGAACACTGGGGGAGGCAGACCAGGCTTGGGGCAGGCAGAACAGCTCTCCTAGATAGCTGGGCTCTTGGTGCAGCCTGGTCCCTTTCCTGTTAAACAAGAGCCACACCAGAGGCCTCTACTCTGGTCCTCTCACCCTAAGTTCTGCTCTTTGTCAGGTAGTGCAGACGCCCAGACAGGTGCTGCCAGGCCCTTGCTTCTGGGTCACCTCCCACTGGCACATTGGGTTTGTTTCTAATTTCAAGCTTTTTGGTTTTTTTGGTACTGGGGATCGAACTCGGATCCTTTCGTTTTTGAGGCAGACAGTGGAACCACTGAGCTAAACCCCTGGCCATAATTTCAAGCTTTTGACACCTCCTTTATTCCCTTTATTCTTCTCCACTCAGTCTCAACTTGTATGCAAAGCAGATCCATCCCTCCCTCCGATCCCTGGCACTGTTAAAACTGGCTCATGTCTTGGGCTGGGGATTTAGCTCAGTGGTTCCACAACCTGCCTTGTAAGCGCAAGGTTCTGAGTTCAATCCCTGGTATAAAAACACCCCCAAAACTGGCTCATCTTCTGCCACTTTGTCCCTGCAGCTGTCATGAAGTCCTCACTGCAGTTAAACCCATGGGTTTCAAGCCCAGGCCACAGTGGACATAGCTAATTACACTGGCACCCGAGCTAGTAGAGTATGTTCTGGTGGTTGTTGGGACCATGATGATTAGACTGGGAAAGCCAGACAGGCCCAGCACTCCTCCTCCACTGCACGCTCCCTTCGCTCTACTCTTCCTCCACAATAAAACCTGGCATTTTCTAAGCTACTGTGAAGTCTGTCTTAGTCTTAACACTGACCAGCCATTTCATCTTGTGGGGTCTCTTTTTTCTTTCTTGTCTTTTTTTTTAACCCTCCTTGGGACAGATTTGTTGTATTTTCCAGGCTGGTCTGTGAACTCCTGGGCTCAAGGGATTCTCCTGTCTCAGGCTTCCGAGTAAATGAAACTACAGCCACGTGTCACTGTGCCCAGCTTTCTTCTCTGACTTTCAGTGAACACCCTTCTGTGGCCAGCAGCCAGAAAAAGTATGGCGTCTAGGCCTGGGGGATTTAGTTCAGTGGTTCTCCCGCCTGCCTTGAAAGCACAGGGACCCAAGTTCGATCCCCGGTACCAAAAAAAAAAAGTATGGAGTCTGATGGTCAGGCTAGAAATGTCACTTCAAGGCTTAGTTTAGAATGAGCCTTGGAAGTAGGTGAGGTCATGATGGATGAGCAAAGTAAGAAGAGATA